CGTATTTTGTTTGTAACAGGTCTATTCTGCGCTGGTAACATAAATTCTGTAACCGGTAATTAAAGTGTCTGTCAATTTTTAAACCTATTTCGCATTCTGTGCCCCGTGAAATATGCAATATGGGAATTTCCCCAAATCTTCATAGCTGAATTGCTGAATATTTTCACTGCATTACCAACGTACCTAGAATCGCGGTGACAAGAAGTGGTAACATTTTTTGGTAATAAAATTTTCCGGTCACAAAATCTTCGGTAACGTGCAGAATAGACCTGTAAGTCAAATATGTGGCATTGTGCTACTATGACAGCACGGCCGAGTAATCATAGCCACCTTGAGTACAGTAGTCGAAAAAATTATAGCCGCACCAAATTTTGACAACTTTTAAAATATTATTTTTGTTGTTATTTAATTTCGGTTAGTTTTTTATAGTTCATTCTTTACCTACATTCGTATAAATACAAGTTTAAAAGCTTGTGTCACACCATTGGGTATTTGCCAAAATTTGGTGTAAATCGTATCCAAATTGTGTGAACAGCCAAAATATCTTTCACTATCCCAATCACGAAAATTAATTTATTGAAATTTTTAAATAGAGCATCGCTGTATCGTAGCAATCTTTTTACTACAAAAAAAATCTCCCATTTTTTTACCAATAGCCCAATGTAAACTTTTACAAATCTGTACAAATGTACCAATCGAGTGACCCTGCCTTAAAAATTTATGCAATTTAAAAAAAAAATCTACAAATTTTCGTTATAATTTCGAGTTTTTTAATTAAATTCTGAGTATGCAGTTTTGTAGCCCATTGAATTCTAGTAGAATAAAGTACAAGTTTCAAATGGCTAAAAAAGTCGATCAATTTTTTAGAATTTTTGAAAGTTCGAAATTTGTACGAAAGTGTGTCGAATTTTTTTTTTTAATATTGCACAAATGAGTAGTCCACTTGCAAACAGGGTTATGTGATTTTATAATAGTAAGCCATAAATTTAAAAAACGCCTACAACAACAAGTAACATCCAAATTGTATATTTCTCTTTATTATCTGAAAATTTGGATAAACAAGAGCCAAATAACATTAAAAAACAAAATCGCAGTGTGGTAGTTTTTGCAAATTTTATATATAAAAATTTAATATAGCGAGTTTTGAAACAGTAACTTTTGCATAGCTATCTTTTTTTAGCTTTTCGCGTTCTCTCTTCCATGAAGATTGGTCTGCTTCTTTTTTACGACGCCTTCAACTAGGCACCGAAACTACCGTTTTCTTGCAGTTTTCTAAGTTCATCAGAAGATGTAGACTTTTGAAAGTGTATAAATAAGTATTATAGCGACTTTTGCAATAGGATTTAACATTTGATGCTATGTTTTCATGTGTTCGCTCTCTCAATTTTCCCTACTTTGCAAGTTTTTGCGTACGAAAACTCCTAAACATGAAAATTCGTTAAAACTTTTACTGGATTTTACTGGAAATAAGTAAACAAATGCATTTAATATTCCAATTTAATACAGAATTTCGTAAAAATTTACACTTATAAAAACTATTGAATACGTGTTCAGGGCCCTATTGTACCAACGAGTTATCATTAGCATTTTAGCAAATTATCGAACTTGCGCAAAGTTTTGTGTTTCACCAACATGATAAGGAATGAATTAATCGGTGCTTTCAACACGTGATACGATGAAATATCGACACAAAAAACGCTTCGATTCGAAATATTAAATTTATTTTATTTAGAGGACAGTCAGCAAATAAAAGGCGTATCATAAAAGAACAAATCAACTACAGTTTACAGTAGAAAATTTCGGACATCTCGTAGGAGTGTTCGCTATGCAACTGCCAGTAAGAATTAGCCAGTAACAAAATTCAGAGAATAAAGTACCTTACTCTCCCAAAGAGAGAAATTTACTAAGTATTGCGCGAACAGGAATTAGCAAACATTTGCCNAAAACTTTTACTGGATTTTACTGGAAATAAGTAAACAAATGCATTTAATATTCCAATTTAATACAGAATTTCGTAAAAATTTACACTTATAAAAACTATTGAATACGTGTTCAGGGCCCTATTGTACCAACGAGTTATCATTAGCATTTTAGCAAATTATCGAACTTGCGCAAAGTTTTGTGTTTCACCAACATGATAAGGAATGAATTAATCGGTGCTTTCAACACGTGATACGATGAAATATCGACACAAAAAACGCTTCGATTCGAAATATTAAATTTATTTTATTTAGAGGACAGTCAGCAAATAATAAAAGGCGTATCATAAAAGAACAAATCAACTACAGTTTACAGTAGAAAATTTCGGACATCTCGTAGGAGTGTTCGCTATGCAACTGCCAGTAAGAATTAGCCAGTAACAAAATTCAGAGAATAAAGTACCTTACTCTCCCAAAGAGAGAAATTTACTAAGTATTGCGCGAACAGGAATTAGCAAACATTTGCCAGATTCACTGCCAGCTGGCGTCCACGGTTGCATTTCGAGCATAATAAATTTTTTAAATTATATCAGGTGGAAATCAAAACAGGACCTGTACGTATATTTCTTCTTATTCTGACTTTCTTCAACATACGCTTCAATTTCTTTGTGGAATTCACTGTCGGATTTCCTATATCGACAGCGGTGTCGAGTGCGTTCCGATTACGAATACAACTTTTTCAACCGGGTACCTTTCAAATGTTTGGAATTTATTAAATTAATTGAATAATCAATTAGTTATTACTTCTTTCATTAGTAAATCGCAAGATTGTTCATTTTTAAATTTAACGAACTCGTTGATTCAAATTAATGTTTACAAAAATGCAACCGTGTGCCACAATGCGAATTCTTACAGGCAAACATTTTCCCAGCACCAATTTGCAACTTCCCCTCCAAATGAAATGTCAAAATTGTGCTCTCTCCTTGCAAGTTTTACTGGGTTTTTGGCTAAACGAACACGATTTGGTAACATTGGTACCAACTTGTACAATTTTTTTGCATAGCGAACACTCCTAATAATGGCATGGTCAAATGCATGGGGTCCACAAATTAGCGCTATGTAGAGTAATTCATCGAGTGGCAAATGCCGTGATGGATGAAACTATTTGTTGGCCGGAATTACGCAAAATATTGCCACACAATTTTTCATTATTGGTGGATTTCCTTAAAACGAAGGGTGCATTGATGGAACTATGATAAACAGAGACGCCCCTAAGGTTACTCTTACCAATTTGTTAGCCGGTACGGAAATCATTCAATTAATGCAAGGTGGTTTTTGTGTTTTTGTTACTGAATTATTTTGGAAAGATCCAAATAAATAATTCTAAAATGTAGAAAAGTATAGTTATTTAAATAAACATATGTACATATGATAGTCAAGACGGACTTACTTTTTTTCCTTAAAAATTTTTAACACAGCACGACATAGTAGGAAAAAAAGAGAAGTTGAAAATGTTTATCAAATCGCATATGGGCTTCCTAAGCCTTCGTTTTCCATTAATAGAAGGTAATCATTTTAGCTAAGCACATTATTCCTCTATTTCCAAAGCAAAAGAAATTAGCTGTGCAATGGTTATCAAATAGACTTATCCAAAAAACTTGTCAGTTACTCATTTTTTATAAGATGATTTTATTTTTGATAAGTAAAAAGTGCAATACTTATCAACTTTACTTTTCAAAATAAGGCTNTGTTCATTTTTAAATTTAACGAACTCGTTGATTCAAATTAATGTTTACAAAAATGCAACCGTGTGCCACAATGCGAATTCTTACAGGCAAACATTTTCCCAGCACCAATTTGCAACTTCCCCTCCAAATGAAATGTCAAAATTGTGCTCTCTCCTTGCAAGTTTTACTGGGTTTTTGGCTAAACGAACACGATTTGGTAACATTGGTACCAACTTGTACAATTTTTTTGCATAGCGAACACTCCTAATAATGGCATGGTCAAATGCATGGGGTCCACAAATTAGCGCTATGTAGAGTAATTCATCGAGTGGCAAATGCCGTGATGGATGAAACTATTTGTTGGCCGGAATTACGCAAAATATTGCCACACAATTTTTCATTATTGGTGGATTTCCTTAAAACGAAGGGTGCATTGATGGAACTATGATAAACAGAGACGCCCCTAAGGTTACTCTTACCAATTTGTTAGCCGGTACGGAAATCATTCAATTAATGCAAGGTGGTTTTTGTGTTTTTGTTACTGAATTATTTTGGAAAGATCCAAATAAATAATTCTAAAATGTAGAAAAGTATAGTTATTTAAATAAACATATGTACATATGATAGTCAAGACGAACTTACTTTTTTTCCTTAAAAATTTTTAACACAGCACGACATAGTAGGAAAAAAAGAGAAGTTGAAAATGTTTATCAAATCGCATATGGGCTTCCTAAGCCTTCGTTTTCCATTAATAGAAGGTAATCATTTTAGCTAAGCACATTATTCCTCTATTTCCAAAGCAAAAGAAATTAGCTGTGCAATGGTTATCAAATAGACTTATCCAAAAAACTTGTCAGTTACTCATTTTTTATAAGATGATTTTATTTTTGATAAGTAAAAAGTCCAATACTTATCAACTTTACTTTTCAAAAAAAGGCTTAGGTACCTATCTAAAAGTTGTAAAGTGATAAGTGATAAGCCGTTGGTGCAATTGGGCCCAGTTGAGTTCATTTACTCCATTTATTTGCGTCAAATTCCTCAAAACATAGTGCGAAAAGTGCAAGTGTTTCTTGCGAATAACTCTTTAATGAATTAAAAATATGAATTTCCGGTCTTGGATTATTGTTGTTCCCATTAAAACACGTTGTTTGATATCACTCTTGAATTTGTTTTCATCAATTTTGGCCTGGTTACGCTAAAGTGCACTTTTACCGAATATTTTAACAGGCTTTTCTGTGTTCATGCAAATTTGGAAGTCACTTCAATTATATCGAAATAAACAAAAACATAAGAACACAACCCAATTTTTTATTAACAAATTTGCATGTAACTTATAAATGTATATATTTCATACATCTTTCGTATGCAGCAGAACTATGCACGAATTTATCCTGAGTCATAGCAGTCAAAACTACATTGATGTTTTTTAAGTCGTTGTGCAAGTGGGAGTCTGCTACCAAACTTGTAGGCATATTTAATAAGTTTTTGCGTCTGTTTGTAATCAAATGGCACCGAGTCTCACATATAAAACGCAAAATATCGAGGAAATCCGATATGTTTAATCCAAAATTAGCACGAAGAATTGCTTGGCACTCTGCTTCAAAGTTCGATATTCTTCTGAAATCTTTGATTTCATCAATTACTTTCCTCAAATTTTCTGACATATTATGCCATATGTATCTTATATTTGCTGCATTGAACCAATTATGATTGACCGAAATAGTATCAGTAATATTCCACACTTGATGATACCAACCACTTGGTACGAATACAGCTTCGTTTCTTTGTTGATAAATTACATAGAAAGACACATTACTTTCTTTTAATTCTTTTTCGTTTATATTACAACTAATATTTCCGAAACAATCTCTTAGTTTATATTGTTCACCGGGCGGTAGAAGAATCCATTTCTTGCATCCGTATATATTAGTAGACCAACTGAATGATCCAAAGACATCTACATGGAAAGGACTCCTGTTCTACAAGTGTAAAAGCTTTGCAATTACATTTTAAGAGATTAAGACAATTTTACCCAGAATTTTTTGGTCCCATGTATACGAATCGATAATCATCTCGGCCATGGTTAACAAGATATTCATTTAGCCAATCTGAACTAAAGTAAGATGGTACTTTATAAAATTCATAAAGGGGAAACTGAGCCTTCAAATGCCAGTCCTTCAAATAAAGATTTGGTTCTTCATTTATAGAATTCAACTCCCCACTTTCAACACTAATTTGTTTTTCCCAGAAGTCCAAAAAGTTGTGGAAACCCAACTTCACTAAACAATTTTCCTTATAATTTGGAGAGCACTTTGTTACAGTCACCAAATGATCGGCTATTTTATGTTTTAGATAAGTAAAACTTATAACGCTTGCATGTTCGCCGCCGTCGCTATCTATCCAACTTTTACTGCACTCCCACTTATTCGACACACAATCTATAATAACGGGGCAGTTATTCTTAATATATCTTTTATAAAACTTGCTGTACGACACGCTCCCTTTTCGAATCTTATCTATGGATTCAGTTTGCATAATTTACCGAGTTTTACAAAATCATATCCTCTAAAATTGAAAAACTGTTCTGCAATATCGGCTGACACCAGAGGTGGAAAAACGTCGACTATACTATCGTTATATCGATAATTTGTGTTTTGAAGCTTCCATTCATCGTAATTCGCCCTCTAAATGCGCGTTTACATTGGACAATGCAGGCAAGACAACAAAAAAGTCGTATTAGTTGTCAAAAACGCTAAGGCTATCTGCACACTTGTCGTCCAATCACAGTTGCGTTATCGTCTCGCCCAGAAATTTTTAGCCGAGCACATGCACTTAAAAGTAGATCTGCACGAAGAGAAGCTGCCTCTGTGCCGCGATGTCTGAATTTGGTATCCCCGCGAAACTAATACGGCTGTGTAAAATGACGTTGAGCAATTCCACCAGCTCCGTCAGAATAGGAAAGGACCTCTCCAAGTTGTTTGATACCAAACGAGGTTTCAGACAAGGCGACTCCTTTTCGTGTGATTTCTTTAATCTGATGTCGGAGAAGATAATAAGAGCCGCCGAACTGAACCGCTCAGGCACAATTTTCTAAAAGAGCGTGCAATCGGTAACAAAAACCCGAAGTCTGTTCTGCCTTTTCCAAGTATGATAAGGAAGTAAAGCGAATGGGTCTGGTGGTAAATGAAGACAAGACGAAGTATCTCCTGTCATCAAACAAACAGTCAGCACATTCGCGCCTTGGCACCCACGTCACCGTTGATAGTTTGAAGTTTGAAAAAGTATACGACTTCGTTTATTTGGGAGCCAGCATTGACACCAGTTATAATGTCAGCCTTGAAATCCAATGGAGAATTACTCTCTCCAACAAGTACTGCTTTGGGCTGAGTAGGCAATTGAGGAGCAAAGTCCTCTCTCGTAGTACAAAGATCACACTATATAAGTCACTCATCATGCCTGTGCTGGTGTATGGCGCGGAGGCATGGACAATAAAAGAATCTGATGAGGCAGTTCTTGGAGTTTTCGAGAGAAAGATTCTGCGAAAGATTTACTGACCTTTACACGTTGGTGATGGCGAATATCGCAGACAATGGAACGATGAGCTCTGTGCAACGATATAGATATAGTGCAGCGAATTAAAATTCAGTGGCTCCGCTGGCTTGGCCACGTCGTTCGAATGGACAGAAACGCTCCTGCTCCCAAAATATTCAACGCGGGCCGCGATGCGGGTAACAGAGGAAGAGGAAGGCCTCCTCTGCGTTGGAAAGACCAGGGGGTGGCGCCGAATGAGCTATATGGTTTAAATGGTTTATAACTTTTTTATTTATGCGATTATTATAATTTTTTTTAAATACAGTATATTATTGGGGAATTTTTTGCAATTAGCTTTGAAAAATGATATCCTGTAAGTGATGTCCATTTTCTGCTTCGCACATACGTGCCCTTTTTAGCATATTTTCCATAACTTTTCGCAGAATTTCGGGTGTAATGGCCATGATTTCATTTCGAATACTGGTTTGGAGTTGGAGAATGGTTTTTGGTTTGTTAACGTACACTATTACTTTCAAATATCCCCAAAGAAAACTGTCAGGAGCTGTTAAATCTGGTGAAAGTGGAGGCCAGTTAAAATCGCTTGTGCGCGAAATAATGCCTTCGCCGAATATGTCCCTTAACAAAGCCATTGAGGCACGTGCAGTGTGTGCTGTGGGTCCATCTTGTTGAAACCACAAGTTTGGATGGTTTTCCACAGGTGGCCTAGTAAAATTTTCCAACATCGTCCGATATGCAGCACAGTTGACAGAGATTGAGACACCACTTTCATTTAAAAAAAATGTGGACCAAATATCCACGATAGGTGTTCTTCCGGCACCTGGAAGGGTTCTTACAGACCCATGTTGACGAAAATTTCCAATCAAATGGTTTATTGCTGACGCTGTGGGTGCAATGCGCACATTAAAATGACGACGATATGCACGCTGTGTCAACACAATAGACCGTTGGTTAAAAAAAAAAATCAATTATTTGTGCACGTTGTTCGATCGTGTAATGTTTCATAATTAATTCCCCAAGTCTTCTTCACAAATTTCTGAAACAACAGAAAAAATAATTTAAAAAAGTTATAAAGAATTCAAACCATATAGCTCATTCGGCGCCACCCTGTAGTTTTAATAATTTTAAACAGATTTGGATCACAAAATTTCTTGTACGTCAAAATATATTCGAAAGACTGTACTTAGGGCCGTTTTCACCATCTCTGGTTAACACTAATACAATGTTCTGACCGACAACGAANATAATTTTAAACAGATTTGGATCACAAAATTTCTTGTACGTCAAAATATATTCGAAAGACTATACTTAGGGCCGTTTTCACCATCTCTGGTTAGCACTAATACAATGTTCTGACCGACAACGAAAACACCTTGAGAACGACTTTTGGGATTGTGGGCTGAAGGCTGTTCACACCGACTGTTGGTGTTTTCGTTGACATTTCTTACATCCTTTGTTTACAGTTTTGCGGTACAAATACAAAACCAAAATACTTTTCCTTCTATTTCTTTTCATTAACAAACTTNCTGTTGGTGTTTTCGTTGACATTTCTTACATCCTTTGTTTACAGTTTTGCGGTACAAATACAAAACCAAAATACTTTTCCTTCTATTTCTTTTCATTAACAAACTTTTACTTCCATGCTTATTTTATTTTGTTCAGCCAATTAACAATAAATCCGAAATGGCGTATTAAAGATGATAAAATATGACTTCCACTTCGATAGATAATCGAAAAAAACTAGTACAGACACCGATTGGAATGAGTGAAACGTGAGTTTTCAATTAGTTTTCATCGAAAACTTGTTTTCGGTTGACAGATTTTACATTGACTAAAACACAAGTCTTAGGTCGAAAACCAGTTTAGGGNGATAGATAATCGAAAAAAACTAGTGCAGACACCGATTGGAATGAGTGGAACGTGAGTTTTCAATTGGTTTTCATCGAAAACTTGTTTTCGTTTGACAGAAACCAGTTTTAGGGCCGGTTACTCAATGTCTGGTTAACACTAATCTCCGGTAAAACATCGTTATCGACGTTACCGACTGCATGTTATATGCATGGAGCCGAACACGTCGATAACGATGTTTTACCGGAGATTAGTGTTAACCGGACATTGAGTAACCGGCCCTTAGCAACGAAAACATCTTTTCGATGTCGGTCAGAACATGGTATAAGCCCTAGTTAAACATTGTTACCGACATTACCGACCCAATGTTAAGTGAATGGAGTCAGTTCCGTCGGTAACGATGTTAAACTGGGGATTAGTGTTAACCAGAGATGGTGAAAACGGCCCTTAAGGCTCTGTTATGCATACTTGGCATTGCATGCACTGCTATACCATTTTTACGTAGAAATCAAAAACCTACAGACTTTTACGTATGTAATACTGTGCGTTGGGTAACCGCTTACACGCGAAGCTCATTTAACAGATTCCTTATGTGACAACTCTCAAGCAATGCCAAGTATGCATAACGGAGCCTTTAGGGCCGTTTACTCACTATATGGTTAACACTAATCTCCGTTTAAACATCATTATCGACGTGTTCGGCTCCATGATTAGTGTTAACCAGACATTGAGTAATCGCACACTACTATTTAGTTTGCTCGATTTGTAAGCAAAGCTTCTCAGCGGTGTAAAACATACTATTCTGAATAACCTAAACGTGCGAAATTCACAATAGCGCTATTCGAGATATTGACACAACTTAAATCCATGAGCGATGTAGACGTAGTGTAATACATGAACGAAAAAGGCAATTGACAGTCACAATTGCCAACCTCTCATAGATTTATCAACCTTTTCAATACTTCAATAAAAATATATAAAAAAGGCCGTGTTCGTGTCAATTTTTAGGTTTCCACATAATTATTTTACTCATTTCTTTTTAGAAACAATATATTCAGTGTTTATTTTTGTGAAGCCATTCGTTTATACTTAGATATGTATCTCGAATAAAATTTATAGGAAGCGAAGTTGTATACATTCAAGAATGCAGTTCAGCTAAAAGCGGCTAGATACTCTACGGAAAAAATCGTTGTCGGATGTGGAGCGGTTAGCCGTAATAGTGCCTCATATCAAAGTAAGAAGATTAGTAAAAGCAGAATAATAACTTGTGGGTTTTATCTGCCCCAAGTTCGCGGTCGATGATTGGTACTCTCATTTTGGTGTCGGGGCACAAGTGCAATGTTTACTAAGGTACTGCAGTGTACCTGCCATCTACATACAGCAGAACACAGTGGAAAAAGCAATGGAACGTCGTGTTAAGCTTAAGACCATAAACCCGCACATAACGTGCAAGATTTGTGGAGGTTACTTTATTGATGCGACAACCGTAACTGAGTGCTTGCATACATGTAAGTAATATGTTATTTAAAAGGTTAATTTCTTTAATGAATATTTATATCTTCGGGTAACAGTTTGTAAAAGTTGTTTGGTAAAACATTTGGAAGAAAAGAAAACCTGCCCCACCTGCGACAATGTTATCCATCAGTCACATCCTCTTCAATATATCAGCTTTGACCGAACTATGCAGGATATTGTTTATAAGCTAGTACCAAATCTTCAAGAAGGTTTGTTTTCATTAAACTAAACCTTAAATTGCTACAAATATATATATCTATATATTTTAATTTAGATGAGATGAGGAGAGAACGAGAGTTTTACAAAAGCCGAAATATCCCATGCCCCAAGGATATGCCACAGAATCATGAAGACGACGAAAAAATGTTAGAAGCACACGCAGAATCTGATTTCCATCGTCTCGACGAGCAGGTGAATGTGAGCCTTGAATGTATGAGCAACAACTTTAAAAATTTGCAGCGGCGTTTCATTCGCTGTAGCTCCCAAGCCACCATAACGCACTTAAAAAAATTAGTTGCCAAGAAAATCTTGAATGGTATAGACAAGTATCGAGAGGTATGTATTTCACATTTTTTCCAATCCTGATGAATGTGTTTTTATGTACATACACAGCTCGAACCAATTTTATAGGTTTTTAAAAAAAACTAACTATCANTGTACATACACAGCTCGAACCAATTTTATAGGTTTTTAAAAAAAACTAACACTACGTTATCCGATTTGTTCTAACAACCTTAAGGATAAAATACTAATATTCGCACAAGTTGGAATTATCTATGCGGGAAGGAAAAGCCCAGTCAATTTCTAATGCTGGATTTCCACTAGGCATTAAATGGCAAAAATGACGAATGACAAAGTCGGGCATTAAAAAATAATCGTGTCATTACATTCAAAAATAATCATTAAGTTCATTTCCACATGGCAGTTTTTTAAATGATATAAATTTTTTGTCATTTCAATGCCTAGTGGAAATTCGGCATAACACGAAAGCATTTCGATTTTTGGAAAAAAGTGAAATTCATAAAAAGTTAGTGCGTTTTTGAATTCGTCTTAAATTTCTACTGAGAAAATTATATTTTTTACCGAGGTTCGTTACACTCAAGTCCATGAACCAATTAGTTGTGTAGTTGAATCATGCTCAAGTCTAATTTGTGGTACTTCAAAATTCTGAGTTTATTCGAGCAACAGTTAATGCGGTAGTTTTTTTGTATGAAAAAACATCACCTTCTGATGTAATTATTACGTAGTTCCAAATAAAGTTGCTGTTCATAATTTACATTTTCATTTCCGTGGCGTTGCCCATCGGCAACCCAATTGAGGTGACGCTGCCATCCATATTCGACCCATTTTGCTCTATGCGAAATTTTACTAATTTTATGGCTACAATGCAGATGTAAAAATATCATTTTTTTCATTGATTAGCACACACTTTGGCAAAAATAAACAGTTTACTAATATTATTGTGGCGAAATAATCACACCTGTGTTGGAATTCAAATTTTTTAAGCTGCGAATTCGGTCCTCCGCTCCGCAACTATCCACCGCATTGCCATCCAAAAACAGCAACTTCTATGTTCTTAATCAACTGTTTTGACACAAATGAATACATTTCCACGACAGCCGATTTATATATTGAAATGACACGGATTTTACCCCAAAAAGGACTGTTGCTTCGGACTGCTTAGGTTGGCAAAAATTATCTTAAAGGTTGTTCGTCCTTGGGCTGGCATCGAGTCTAACCCTGCACTAGGAAGCTGATCATGCTGCGTATGCCAGAAAAGATTACACCCAAGCTCTAATTCAGTTTGGTGCAATACCTGCAATGGAAGGAGTCACCTTAAAACCTGCTCATGCCTCTAAATTGACCGACAGTGGGCCACGTCATTTGGTGCCCCGTGTTGCTCAAACTTAAAGGAAGGGCCATTACACAATTGGACACAATATACCTAAGGTCGTAGTGGATAGCCTCTAACAATCTATCTTAGGACCATTACCCCAGCAGCAATACAGCAAGCACAACAAACAGTTCAGGTAGCGCGCCAAAACTCCCTCACCCCGCTAATAACCATCTCTAGCCCAGCTTAATAAAACTACTGGAGTCCAATTGCAACGGACTCTAAAGCAAGATAACTGAGATCGTCAGTCTCAGGAAACCGAACTCCACTCCGGCTCAAGCCCTCAGAGTCAGGATGAGTTCACCGTCATCCGAAGACATCGCACTCGCGGCGCCGCGAATTGTTGCCAACGATACCTCATTGAGTGCCAAGGTTTGGCAATCAAGTCGGGAGATACTGAGCTTGAAGTCGTCAACGTGTACACACCACCTACCACCAGCTGCCCAGCAGGATACCGCCCAAACATAAGTGCGCTACTTAAAGGCGATTACCAGGTAGTGCCAGAGGATTTTAACGCGCGGGGTACACTGCTGGCTGAACAACGTTTTGCACTTTGAACGAAGATGCCCCACCATGTCCGCGGAAGACTGCTGCAGCTCGCCAGACATCACTATAGCCAGCATGGGTCTGATAAATTGCATTGGATGGCAACCAGTGCTCACGCTCGCATATGACCACCTGCGCATAGTAAGCCGCTATATTCCATCCAAGAGATTTTGTTACATCCGAAGACCGTACGTACATGAACACCATGAGGGCCAACTGGGACGGTTTTTTTGCAGAACACAGACTGCAAATTCAACGCTCTTCCACCACCACCTGCGCGCGCTTCATACCAATAGGATCGCCAAAATCCGGCCGGGCTTCCCAAAATTGGCAATACAACAACGTCGGATCCCGGACGTGCGCGCGCTTATTCAGCTTATTCATTGTACACTCGGAGAGAAGCAAAGCCCGCCGCAGTGTGCTAGGTGAAGCACACAAACTGTGCCTCCGAGACATATCAACGTGCTTCACACCAGAAGAGACGCAGGCAGCTGTAAAAAACGCCAAAGCATCCAAGGCGTTGGGCCGTGACGGAATCTCCGTGCAGATGCTGAAAAAGCTAGGACCTGCGGGAGGCGAGTACATCACAGCTGCTTTCAACTTGTCACTGTCCACCCTAATTATCCCGGAGATGTGGAAATGAGGTAGGATCATTCCCCTTCTTAAGCCAGGGAATAAGATGGACGCAGGAGACTTACCGGCCAAGCATTCGACAAAGAATTCCGAAACGCCAAGTCAAAGCCGCGTAGGATTAAGCAGGGGCTCCTCCAAGACGGCGTACTCTCCCCGACACTGTTCAACCTCTACATGGCGAAACTCCCTCCGCCGCCAGTTGGGGTTAACTTGGTGGGCTACGCAACGTAGGCCAACATTGACAGCCTTTGCGGCAAAATCAAAAACTATCTCACCAATCTTGCAAACTTCTTCACTGCAAGAAGGCTCACCATCTCCGCCGCGAAATCCACGGCCACACTTCACCACCTGGATTAAGAAGATTAGGCTGGAACTGGACATCCACGTCGATGGCCACAGAATATCGACGGTCAACCATCCCAAAATCTTGGGAGTCACGTTCGAAAACCTATTCTCCTTTTCAAACGCACGCCTCAGCCACATGGGGAAAAAATGGGAGCTAGGAACAAAGTCCTCAAGCCACTAGCCGGCAGTACTTGGGGAGCCGTGTTATGTAGTTGCCTATTTGCGTCAGGCGAGGCGGCATGCAGGCATGCTTGCAACCCAAGCTAGCTCGTAGTCGGGGTGGGACATTTGTGCCTGCCTATCTGTCAACTAAATAAACCAAAAAATATATTCCAACCTGATAGTGCGGGAAGAGAAGATGGTCATAGAGGAGATAAAGAACAGACAACAAAACAGGATTCATAGTCAAGTCCCGTCCTGTCAGGCGGAGTCAACCCTCCCTTCTTCTGCATGAACTTCACGTGAAGCCTTGGGCGCTGTTGTGACTCCTCACCTTTCTTAGCAATGCCCCTTAACCTGACATAAGTCCGTCTGGTCATCAGTCAGTCATTTCCAAGTCCTCCGTCATCGAGTGTCCACTCCCACTACCCCTGCGTTGCCAAAGCGACACATCCACACCAAACTCTTGTGCTCAGCACTCCTGAATTCAGCTTATCCTTTTTTTAACTCTTCACAATCTTAGCTTATCTACTATTTTTAACACTATGTACATTTCTTTCTACCACTCTATTGCTAACCAGACACCGTCAATTCATAAACAAATTTTGGTTTTTAATTTTATCTCTTATTGCCTATTAATCCTAAGGACTTCTCCTATTTTTCTACAAATACCCTAATCCCTGAA